TTGCTTGATATTGCCATCTCTATGTGATCCGTGTATAAACGCATGTTATCCATCATCCTCCACCCATAATGCAATTGTATTGCAACTATTGCTGGTCTTTTAGGGGGCATTGCAGCAATCCTAAGTCTTATTGTTCCGTGCAATTTTTTTTGTTGTTTTTTTGGTGAGGCTCTTCACATGGCTTTTAGGACCATATCATAAATTAGTTAGAATTTAAAACTGTAATTAGAAATCAAAAGAACTTAGGACTTCCGGTCTTAAATCTATTCATCATCATTACTCGCACTGTACGCACTGTAACTATTGTCACTTCCTGTTTGTCACAATCAAAGAAAATGTCACAACTTTTGGGTGGGGTAACTGACACAAATTTCAAATGGTTTTCAACGGTCGTTTGATCGCGTCCAGTGTAGGCAGACTTTAGCTGTTGTAGACACGGTGTTACTCACCTATTGAGAAGAAACAAAGCAACCTCGGCGTCCGATCGCAGGCCTTCCGCTCGAGTTCTCTCCAGCGCTGGAAAGCTGATTCGATATTTACACGGGTCCTACTTCTTGCCTTAAACCCTCGTTTGTTCCGCAGACATTTTCCTCTTGTTTTTTTTATCCGCCATCTCTATCTTTCTGTCGCTCGGCTCGGCTAATGTCTGTCCTGTGCACTGAAAGCTCTCTCCTCCACATCACGAGTAGACACGCCCCTTATTGCTGATTGGCTACAAGTTTATTTTGCTATTCGGCCCGAATCAGTTTTCTAAAGTGTTTTTGAAAAATTACATACCCTACCTTTAATGTAGAGCAGTTGTGAATTACACTGATGTAAATGTTGCATAGGACCAAACTTCGCAATTCAGTCATATTGGAAAAAAATGGATTGGATTCGGTTTAATGTTTCATACATGGAAATGTGATTTTTGAGGTTTATCATGCAAAAAAAAAAAAAAAAGTATGTATTGTGAACAGCCAGAGATGAAAGCAAGACTTTTGATCTTTCTTCAGCAACTTTTCAGTTAACAGCCATTCTTAGCCACCAGACCAAGACACACACATACATACATATCAAGGTTAACAAAGTTGAAAATGTGACTGTTTTAGGGTCTTTTGACCAGACTCAAGTTTTGAAGGCAACATGGGATAACAGAAATGATCACAAACAACTGACGGCAAGGACAGATTGAGAGAGCTGAAAGAAAGATGGAGTGGAGCAGCATGGTTTCTCCTTCATGATAAAAAGAATAGCAGAAAATACAGTGGGAGGGGTTGCACATGGGAGGAATAGAGTAAATGTTGGGTTGCGTAACTGATAAGAGCCCATCTGTGGTCGAAATCACACACAGATCAATTAATGTCTGTCAGATATAAGATTTCCCACTGCTTTCTGGGTCAGTGTTTACACTCTCAGTTCTCCTGGGTAGCGACCCCTGACCTCACTCAAAAAGGAGGGCAGTTTAAGACCATTCAAATGAAAAGATAAAACCTGTGCTAATATGCAATACATTCGAGCACTTAACTAATATGCAATACATACGAACACTTAACAGGACACAACCAGAAGTTAAATGATTTTTTTTTTATAAAGAGAAGAAAAAAAAAAGGAAGTGTGACAGAGATTGGTAATTATGATTGTAATCAGTTTGAAGACTGCCTAAAAATGCTGTTGTGCAAATTATATCCCAAATATTACTTGTCAAGGTTTGAGGTAAATAGTTGTAAACTTTGCAAGTTTTTTATTTTTTTTAAGGCTAAACATGTCTTTGAGTGATTGGCATTCACCAGCCTCTGGTTTGTGGCAAGTGCTATTGTGAGTTCACCTCAGTGATGCTTGTCTTCGGGCTTTGTACATTAAACAAGGATTTGGCTTTCTGAATGGAGCAAAAGTGAGTAAGGTGATAAAGGAAGGGTGAAAAGAGCTTCCTGTTCTTACAGGAAGTAGGAAATCCGCAAGCCTGTGCAACATTAACCTCTGAATGAACCTCTAATGACCTTTTTAAACTCTTTACTTGAGGTCCTGGGTAGTTTGTGCTACTCCTAAGTCACTTTGGATAAAAGTGTCAGCTAACATATTGGGAGTATTATGGTGGGAGTACATTTCTGCAATAACGGAGCATGAATTACAATTTGTTGCGAAATAATTTGTTGTCAGTTGGAATGAACGCTTGTTGATTGATGCTTTAGGCTGCTTGATGTATCTGACCCTCATTTCAACCGCACGAGCCATTATGTCCGGCCCACATGGGTGTGTTAATATTAGGGTGACCATACGTGCCATTTTCCTGGCCAGGATTTCTATATTGCCTATAATTTTTATCTCTTCACTAAATACAAGTCACAAGGCCAATGTGGTATATATCTAGGCTGTTCTAGGTTTAAAAAGAATAAATTATTGAAGAAAAAAGCACCCACGAAAAATACAAAGAGCATTTACACATTTCAGTATTCAATATCCCCAAAAAAGAGAGAGAGAAAAAAAATTCAGAACAAAACCCAAACGGACAGGATCTCGGCAACTCTGCCGTTGTAAGCCATGACAGCACCAAACTGAGTTCCACTTGAAGTCCCGCAGAGCCATACAGGGGTTGGTACACAAGACCCTCAGAATTTATTCTATCGAATTTATTGGCTGATTGGTTCTGTAAACAATGCTGAGTAAACTGGTTCTGGATTGGCTGTTCAACAAATATTAACAGTAGTATTTTTTTTTCCCAACGGTAAATGTTTTAAGTCTTAACTGGACTAAAATAAAAGATCTTGTCCTGCGAACAGGAGTTTTGGTTATGGCTGTGTGAGGGCAAGGGATGAGACGTCCTCATCGGGAGCTGGAACTGGTAGTCTGAAAAAGCACACGTACAAATGATAAAGGTTAGCTCTTTTTGAAGCTTTGCTGTTGTTTGTTCACTTTGACAAAGCGCGTGGGTGCACTCACCAGGCTGAAAGAGTCGTACACACTCATGAGCTCCTCCATGCGGCATTGCTCCAGCACTACTACATTGGAGAGGTTTGGGTTGCGTTGTCGTGCACAGTCCTCACAGTGCACCACATACATCTTCCGACTGCCATTCTCACTGGTCACAAACAGCAGGTTAAACACCTCCACCTGCACAAGAACAAAAACTTGCATTATTATCGTGTCATTTTCTGTTATTTTTTGGAACAGACCTCTGGTGGGTTTTTCTATGTAGGGTCTGCCTATACTTTACAAATAACGAAGCACAATCCACTCACATCACACTCATTACAGTAGTAGGCCGGCTCATCCTTCACTCTGCTCTGGTAGGAAATCTTCTTTCCTCCTGCCACTAGCTGGTCCCTCAGAATCTGAATGTGCTTAATAGACTGGAGGAGTTTGACGTGGAAAAGTACTTACTGTCACGTCAGGGTCTGAGCCTTGCGGCAAAGTCTGAGTACTGAGTAACTTGCGAAGTCTTGATTTACTGCTAATGCGTAAAATAGATGCATTTATGCATATTTTTTTCTGTTTTGTCTGTGTAGCCTGAATAGGCCTATGTCGTGCAATAAAGGTTTTCTATTCAATAACATTGTTAACTGTTTTTATTTATAACATCTGCTGCTTTGCTTCTGTGAAAATGAATAGAGACATCAGCCTTAAACTTTGTTTTTGTCGTTTACATCAGTTATATTTGTATAAAATATACTACTTTGTGTCAGTACATTAATGGCACATTTGAGCAGCATGAACTGTAAATATAAAGAAATGCCAAATCACATGCAGGTTTTTTCAGACCAGAGACCATAATAGTGTAATTTATTTTATGATACGAAACGTCCAATTTTTCTTTCAGTAATGTTTTTTCAATTTTTCAAGAATTTTGTGGTACTAAACGTTTTATTAGTTGTCATAGCAAGCGATTTTAAAAGTAGGATGCCTCACTTTTTATAAGATGACTGAAAATTTTACTTGACTTCGTAGTTAATTCTTACTTTTGAAACCTTGTTGCTTTGACTGAATGAATACAGAGGCATGGCACAGATCAAAGTTTATCAAAAGCATTTAATATTATTCAGAGTAATCATATCAATGACACAAATTCACAAAGTGTTTAAGACATGTCTGGCTCAGTTTGCTTCGTGTGTGAATTCCAAAACAGTGCAGATTTTAAATTTTTTAATTAACCACAAAAATAAAATAAAAATGAGGAAAAGAGAACAATTTAAAAAAAAAATGTACAATTAAAAAAAAAAAAAAAATATCAGAGAATAGCTATAGAGGTGAGAAACAATTCACTGAACAGAACAGATGAAACTGAACAATTATACTCACAAAATGCAGGAAAAATGATTGATTAAAAATGCTTGTCCTGATGATATAAACACATTCCATACTGAAACTGAAAAAGTCTTTTAAAACCCGTATGTTTTGAAGCATTCTGAACAACTGTATTTCTTTTAATTCTTAATGCTTTAGAAAAATGTCCATAGCTCTATTATTAGTATTATTAATTTTTATCTCTTCACTAAATACAAGTCACACGGCCAATCCACTAGCTGGTCCCTCAGAATCTGAATGTGCTTAATAGACTGGAGGAGACAGTGTCTGAAAAGGAGGAAAGGCAAATGGATTAAATGCCTATTCTACTAAACTGGGATGTAACTTCCTACTGCATACTTACTTGATCATCTTGTAAGTGTCTGGGTCAGTGACTTTGACGTTCCGTGCCACGTTCCAGGATACGTGAATCATGGGAACGATGGATTTGACTTTCTTCACTTCGTTCCACTCAAATCTCTCTAAAGCCAACTGGTACTGATAAGCTACAAATTCAGAAAAACAGCTTTTTACATTTCTGTGCCCAGGATTTTAGCTTTACACATTTCATTGCAACTGTTTATGTAATTGTCATGACTGATAAAATGTATTTTAAAGCGATTAGATTTGATTTTCCACTTAAAGTAGGCTATTCCTGGCACACATCATACATATTTTACGCAATTGTAATGACAATGAAAGATCGGGATTTTCGTGCTACAGGCACTAAAACATCCAAAAGCCACCACTTTTTGAACGATAAAGAGAACAGAAGTTAAATGTGTAGGTTACTCACAGGTGACGGGTCCCACATTCCAAGCAATGTTGTTGCACCAGCCCACGGCCTGAACCCAGTGTACAGTGCCTGCGTTGATCCATACCAGGTCTCCTGGTCTTTGGATGAACCGGTACACAGGGATGTTAGCGCGGTACAAGTCATCCAGAACCGGCCACCATGATCCTGTCAGGTAGTCGACTCCATGCCTGAGAGAAAAATCCACAAACTTCTTAATTCTTATATAATTATGTTAAAATAAATACTTTATTAAACATTGTTGGGCTATTAGTGTTATTTGACAGTTTTTGTAAACTCTTTCTTACTTTTCACAGAAATCACTGATGGCCTCCCAGTAGTTGTCATGAACAGCAAACCACTCACAGTCTCCAGGCCCAATATTGATGTTTACGGAACAGAAGTTATTGTTCTCCTGGTGTCCTGATGATACAAGCATTTAACACCAATAAAAAACTACTTGCCAAAGCAGACTATCTATCTTTGATTTCTACAACTCACAAATCGAGAAAGCTATTAGTGATTGCGTCAAACCTGGTGTGCGGCAGCCAGGGACTTTCATGTAGAGTTGCACTGTATTCATTCCCAAAATGGTGTGGCCAACATGACTCAGCATATTCCCACTGGAGGACACACGCATAAACGCCGGCAACTTCTGCAGTTCCTGCAGCTGAGGCTTCCATCTAAAAAAAAAAAGACAAAACACAACTGAGTTCAAACAGACTTGTACACATTCTTGCACTTTACATGGGCAGCATCCAATTTCTATATCCCCAACCATGTCTTGAAGTTTTACATACAACCTTAAGGTTTTTATATCATCCAAATGAGATGACAAAAAAAAAAGGTTATACATTTATGCAATTATGCACAGTAGTCTTACCTTTTTGGATCGGACAGGTCAATGTTGGTGCCAAATTTGATTATCTTCCCCACAGTTTTCTGCTCTAAACTATAAAGACAAATTAAATCATTTTAAGTAACATTTTAAAGAGGTGTTTTATACATACATATATTAAAAAAAATAAATAGAGGCATATATTTGGACAAAATCAAGAATTAGGTGCTGTGCTAACTTGCGAAGAATTACCTGGAGCTGGGAGCTGAGGAGCTACTGGTTGTATTCTCAGAGTTAGTGGCTGATTTCTCATCTTCATCATCATCATCCTCGTCATCACTGCCCTTCTCTTCCTTTAAAGGCAGACAATGGTATAGGTGCATGTTCAGTGCATGATGTATATGATTCAAATGGAAATTCATTTTATATTTTACGTTAGACAGAATTGTACAAACAAGAATGACAAAGTATTTGCAAAATTACCAACAAATCTCTGGAAACTAACAAACACTGTGTTAGTTTTGTTGTGTTGGTTGTATGTTTGTGTTCATACCTGTAAGCTCTCTTGGAAGCTGGAGGCCTGGTACTGGGCATACTTGGCAATTGTTGTATGCGACCTGCTGCTCTCGCAGGGCCAGGTCTGGCCAGTGCCGCTGGGATCCCAGTTCTCATCAGCTGGCTGCTGGACCTGGGTCCGGACCTCTACTGCATGCTCCGCATTTGCCTCCACCAAAGATTTTGTGGAAAACAGACCAAGATCTATGAAGAGGAAGGAATGAAAAATGAACTAAGTTTCCACAACAGCAACCATTAAAGTTACAAAATGTACAACTTGAGTATCTGTCCATCCATCCATAATACATTGTGCATAAACATACTTAATCTAAGGGAGCCAGCTAATCCCCGGATGACAGTAATGGGGTTCTTAGAATCCGTGCAGAACTGTAGCAGGACCGGAGAGAGTGCATCTCTTTTACTTTCCAACTGCAGAGAAACAACAACAACATGGAATCATTAAAACAAACTTTTATACATCGGAGCATCAACTGTGTTTTTACTTGAGCAGAGTTATTGTGCATGTAATACACAAAAAGACCACAAGGGGGCAGGAGATGCTGACAATGCTACTGCAGCGCTTACATAGATGCTAGGTGTGGGGGGGTTGAGTTTCTCTCGAGGGATGGGCAGTTCTGTGGTCAAAACTGGTTTAACAGAGAGGGCAGGTAGGAGGAACGATTCCTTAAATTTCCCCTTCACGTGAGCCCCCCTGAAACAACAAGACATTAAATATCAGATACGGCCTTTCACGGTCCAAATCACATCAAAATAAATTGCAACTGCAGCCAAGAAATAAACTGTTTTAAAGATTTCCTGCACGCAAATATTGCTTACTTGCAGGCTCTGATGATTTCACTAGCTGTGTTCTTTATGGTGATTTCCTCCAGAGGAATCCTTCTCTCCTCTACCTCTGAAGCAATAAATGTCTCCCTGTTCCCACTCTCCACCTTTATGAGGCGTATCTTCAGTTCTTTGGGTGGCCCATCTGTCAGTGCTCTCAGTTTCTGAAAGTCATCAGAACATAATGCTGAAGAAGCTGATGGGAGATCAGACGAACGTCCAGAGCTGGCGCCCTCGTCTTTACTGCGTGCCCACTCTTCTCCTTCGCTCTGGGGTTGGCTACATTCCTCCTTCCTTCTCTTCTTGTCTCCGTCACAGTCTTGTTCCTTCTCCCTAAACTCCTTACTCTGAAGGTCCAGGTTACCCAGTACCTGCCTGCTCTTTTTTTCCTTGTGTGACTTTCCGTCCTTGTGCCGTCGACTGGAGCTGGAAGATGAGGATGAGGAAAGAGACACATCACCGTGTCTTTCTCTGTGCTTTTTCTTTCTCTCTTTCCTGTCCTCATGTTTTTTGCTACTGTGTTTGTGTTTCCTCTCTCGTTCTCTGTCTCTGTGTCGGTCCTTTTCTTTATCAGGTTTGCATGTCTCCTGTGACTCTGCCTTAGAGCTCTGCCTTTGAGGAAGTACGTGTTTGTTCACCTCATAGCTATGACCAAGCTCCGCTAGTGAAGACTCTGAGATGGTGGTCAGTATTGGTCGATTTTTAAACAAGTCTTTCACAGTTCCAGAATCCTTCTCTCCTGTGGATTCCTCTGAAATATCTTCCTCATAATCATCGCCCAAAAAATCTGACTGGCTAATCTTATCCCCTCTCTTCCTCTCTGATGCCCAATCTGTAGGTGAGAGGGGACAGGGCTGTCCTGAGTTACTAATGGCAGAGGGTTGCGTTGGACTGCTAAAACCTGGGTGATTGGATGAACCTGATGTGGGAGAAGTGCTTTGTTGTTGTCTGCAAATGTCAGGCTCCAGAGAAAGAGATGAAGAGTACTTCACTCCCATAAAAGCAGAGGGAGGAGGACGACCAAAGGGTCCACCTCGGTAGGTGTACTTCTGGCTCTCAAGTACAGATGCAAGGTTTTTAAACATGCTGTTCACACCTGTCTGATGGAGGTGTGGCCGCTGTGGTGGTGGTGAACAGGATGGAGTTTCATCTTCATCCCGATCCACTTCATCATCATCCTCACACTCACTTTTCTCTACCTCTGGAAGGCCATACAGCTTGGCCAGGTCACTATGGCGATAGTTGGTTCCTGTTGTGGCAAGATTGCTTTCTTGAGACTGCATGCTAATGGAATTTGCAGGCTTGGGAATGACCTTAAGAACCTCCTCTTCTTCCTCAAGTGAAGAAGTACGACTACAAGGAGATGCCAGTGAACCTTGCCGACTTAACACAGGTGGGCTTGCATGGCCATCTGGCTGATAACCCTCAGTTGGAGATTGCTTTAGGGCAGGCATGAGGTCTGGTGCACACAAATAACTCTTAATAGGTGCCACATTTGTAGAAAACAGAGGTTTCGGTACTGCCTGTTCTCTGCTCTGGCCAGAATACAACTCCTCCTCTTTCCTGATGGACTCATCCAGCATCTTCATAATATTAGCCAATCCATCAGGCAAGAGCTCAGAAGTTTCCTCCTCAAATTGGGCACCATCAGAGTCACCACTGCAACTTCTAGAACTGCTACCCAAACTACCAAGTCCTGTACTGGGCATATGTTTTTGAAGGCTGCTTGTAGTCGTGCTGATAGGTGTGCATGAAGAGCGAACATCCTTGGGGAAAGCCTGGTAAAGTTTGGGTGGCTCTCGCAGGGGTGGAGGGTTGGGAATTGCATTTATAATCTCAGCATTATGAGAGGTTTTCAAAATTTTGACATCTTTGGATGGGTCAGGTTTCAATTGCATGGTGTGGCTGTGGTTGTCGGAGGGGCTGATGAGACCTGACTCTGAGGGGTATGTGGGATTCCCAGTGGAATTCTGAGACGGTGCGCAACTCTTCCATTTCTCTCTTTGCCTTTGCTTCTCACGGGCATATTCTGTCTGGGGGGTGAGGGGAGGTGGTTGTGACCGTTCCATAACGTTTGCTGCAGTTCCAGAAAAACGTGGGGGCACTCCTCCCCGACTCAACCAGGGATAAGGTGGTGAATTCTGGCTAGGAGGTGAGATGGAGGAGAGTGCATTGGCTGGAGACAAACAAGGAGGTGGAGACTCGGCTGCACTACCTGACAGCAAACGTTCCAGACACTTGATGGCAGACTCACCGTGTGGCTTTGTCTCCATTTCTTGTCTTTCTACATTCCGTTTTCTCTCTTCATTCTGGTCTCTCCTTCTCTCTTCTGCTTGCATGTGGCCTTGCAGCTCTGCATCAAGTTTATTCAAAGCATCAACAATGGACTGAGAGCTTGGGGCAGCAGGCTGCAAACAGGACCTTGGGTAGACTGGGGCCGGAACAGTAGTAGTTGCCTGAGAAATTGAGGAGGAAGCTTGGATGGGTGCTGAGTTGTATGAATTACTAGAAATTGGCTTGAGGGCTGAGCTGACTTTTATGTGTTCTGGAGGTTGAGGGCAATGTAAAGGTGAACTGACTTGAGGGAGAGTGTTGAAGAAGTGCTGAGAAGTCTTGCTGGTGATTACACTCTCCCCTGATCTCTGAAGACCTGCGTTTAGGGTGGAGGGAGAAGAAGACACTGGGGTGTAGTTAGGTCTGCCTTGTCCTGTGTGGGGTAGAGTGGATTGAATCCGAGATTGTGCCCCTCTATGTGGGTTTGGAAGGGTTTCAACACCAGGGTGGACACCCTGATACCCTGGATGTGTTACATTTTGACCAATCATGGATACATGGTTTGGGTTTGAGATTAACACTGAAGAATCCATTGCTCTCCAGCTGCTCAGGGTACTGGGAATGGAGGCGGCAGTAGAGGGTGCTGAGCTTGTGGCAGGGACGCTTCCAAAATTGGTGTAATGTTCCAGAGAGCAAGGTGGACGAGGAGTTTCTAGGTTTGGGGTAATGACAGGTTTTCGAGCAGGGGCCTGAGGAGGGCTCACACGCTGGGGGGTCCCTGGACCCCGGTCGCCCCCAGCAAGCCTATTCGGTGCCTGAGAAAGGCGTTTGGCAACCTGAGAATCCCCTCTTGCTGAAAAGTCACGTGATTCCTAAAGGGAAATTAATATTACAGTCAACAAATCATAGGACACAAAATTGTAACTATTGATAACATTTATAGTTTACAGCACATGTTGTGTAGCATACTATTTACTAATATTAAACAGCCAGCAATTTTAAGTCTTGAGCAGGTAGATCTGTTTGAGCATCAGAGAGGTTCTGTTTAATGCAAAACTGTGTGTGTGTTACCTGGTTCCTCCAGGGTTTATGGGGGTTGTGCTGAGGTACGGTGTCCTGGGCCTGGTTGCTGGCTGGTGGGCTGGAATGGACCAGCCCTGGGTGAGGCTGGAATTGGGGGTGACTGTAAGGCACAGAGGTGTAGTTTGCTGGTGAGGGTGCAGGGCGCTCCCCATCTGCCCGTGGTGATGATGAGGATGTAGGTGGTGGTGGAGCCTGTTTATTCAAAGAGCTCGATGCAGAATCATGTCCTCTTTGTGAAGTAGTACCACGTGGTTCCACTTGGGTCTGGGCTGAAGGTCTGATGTTGGGGTAGGAGTATGTAGAATGGTGGATGTGAGGGTTCTGTGAAGGTCCCAGAGACTGTGGTGACTGAGCAGTCTTGTGGGACTGTGGTGGAGGACCCCTGCTTTCTTCGTAGCCTCTTGTGCTGTGAATGGTGGGTGAAGACGTGGTTGATGGATTCAAGGGAGGCAGTTTATAGGGGAAGCTTCCAATTCCTGACTTAGCTGAATCCTGTAAATAGAGAATAAGAATTGGCCAAGTAAGCCAAGTACATCTAATGTAAAACAAAAGGGTAGACTAAACATCAAACAATACACGACTTTCATCGGATTGCTGTTCTTTACACAACTGTCTATCTTCGCTGATCTCAGTTACAGTTAGGGCTGCATGATACATCGAAATGGAATCGAGATCGCGATTCGACAGAAGCTGCGAAGAAGCCAAATCATCTCACAGAAGGATTTATTTCAAACACTCGACTGACGTTATGAAGTGAGTTTGGAGTAAAAATATGTTATTAAATGTGGTATTTTCACATGCTTTCAGATGGAGCAGCATTTACTTCACAGAGCCGTAGTTCACTGAGAAGCTATGCAAACAGCTGTCATTATCGCGAACGATTTCTTCGATTTCATAATCGCGCAATAAAATCGTCTGCAATTTTTTTGCGTAACTTGTCAGTGAACTACGGCTATGTGTAGTAAATTCTGCTCCATCTGAAAGCACGTGACGATGATTTCCTGTTGATTACAGAACCGGCTTTTTTAACAAAATGCGCATGACAATCGCATTCGATTAATCGTGCAGCCCTAGTTACAGTCAAACCACATTTCACGCTACAAGTCTTGGATTACAGACAGGTCTAGATATTTAACCCACTAACTTAATTCACACCTGATTTCTGGCTTTTGTCACAAAGCTTATAAGTGAAAGCTGATAAAGTGGCAGTGACAGATGATGCCATATATATTAAACTGTCAGACAGAATACAAGAAAATATTATAGAATATCAACATTCAGTTCTGTCAGGACCATTATCGTCATAGATAACTTACAATTAGCATACATTTTAGGTTGGGGGTATGGTTCTGTTCTGGGCAAACACTCCCTGCCCATCCATGCAGCCTAGCATGGATAGGAGCAGGGAGAGCATAAATAAGCCCCCTAGGGTAAACAGAACAGAACCAACATTAATGATTAATGTAGCAGATATCATTAATGTTCTAAGTGATTATTTTATGTAACAACATAATTTAGTGGTCTGACTCAACGCGAATATCCAATGCCGAGTCCTGACTGGACGAGAGGAAGAGTTTGGGGATGGAGGTGGGTGATTAGCTCCTGAGCAAAGCGATAGCTGCTGAATAATGACTGAAAGGACCTTATAAAGGGAATTATGATTGCCGTCGTATTCCTATAGGTAGACGTGGATCAGCTGAGTGTCAGCTGATGAGAGCTTGACTAACGTGACCTGCCAGAACTAACGCTACGCTCCATTTCAGCAGTGACTGACCTGGAAATCAATGGGTCCGCTTTTGTGTTCATTCGGGTTCCAGGGTGCTCCACCTCTGTGCAATGGGTTCCAAAAGCTAGGTTTTGGTGGGGGGTAGTTGGAGGATGGCTGCTGATTCAAATGTACAGGCGGCCCGGATATGCGCTGCATGGCGGAATGAGGCATCTGTCATAAGAAACAGTAAAAAAGAGGGCTTGGTAAAGGCGCGTTTTAGGACAAAAATGCAGAGGTGAGCATATCAAAAGACGTGATATGCTCTCGACTAACCTGTTCAGACCCAGAGCTCTTCTTTCTCTTGTTCGGACTGGGGCAGTCCTCCATGGGCCGGTGCAGAGATGGAGCAGGGGTATGCTGAATGACAGAGTGCTCTCCAAGAGGGGGCCCAGGTCGTTTTAACTGTCCAGAATGAGAATGAGGTCCCCTGGGTTGCTGCTGAGTCTGAGGTTGAGTCCACATATCAGGGAATGAAGGCATGGGCCGTGAGCCATGGGCTGAGAGCTGAGGAGCACCATACTTGTGGATAAAGTGAGAGAAAGAGAAGTTGGCGAAAGTACTCAAGCACATAACGTAGTTAAGCGCGCTATACATTCAATTAAACACAAAAAATGGTTAGACAACTTTAGTGTAATATAAAGCTGGTCTTTCATAACTTACACATTTAAAAATACTGATTTATACAGGAACACGATTCATTTTTATATAACAAGAGAGCATATAAAAGGCACAGTAATGAAACATAAGCTCAATAATCACCTTCAGTAGTTGACTGGCTCGAGCTGTGAGGTGTGCAGGAGGTCCTGCGTTGTAGCCATTGTGCAGTCGGTTGTGGTTATCACCAGGCAATGGCTCATATCCCTGGCCAGTTCTGGTTGGTTCCCAAGGCCTGGGAGGAGCAGGGGGTATCCTTTGTATTCCTGGCAACAAAGCCTGAGACAGGCCTTGCTTATCTCCTCGATGTAGGGGACTGGAAATACAAGGACACATTAACAAACTTTTTCCAGAAGTATTTGTAAAACAACAATAAAGCTTATTAAAAACTCACCCATTGTTTAAGAATTTACTAGGATGATTTAGCCCAGTCATGTGACTAGGTGGCATATGGGTGAGGAACTGGTGCTGATTGACACCTGGCAAGCACCTATCGAGGGATAAGAAAACAAGGTTTTGCTTTGATCATTCCCTCTCATAGCTCAGTTAGCATAACTTTATCAGTGAAGTCACTAAAAGAATGATGCGGCCCTGATCATGAGGTGTATTACCTGGAGGGAGGTGGCCAGGCACGGCTGCTCACGGGAGCCCATGGTCCCCGGTTGAGTCCATCTAGAGGAAAAGGGTCCCGTGTGCTGCACCCGGTGAACTGTTCTGCTGTGTGATGCATCCAGCCTAGACGATAAACAAAGACAATTTACTTTCCTACATGTCTTTATTATCTTAGCCAATACATCTATCACTGCCGGGAAAAATACGTAGGCCTAAATTCTTGCATTCTTTCCAACATGTAGCAAAGTGGTTGTGACACTGAACTACTCGACTACTAAACCATTATGCTGCCTTCAATATCTTGGCTTAAGTCAGATGGCAGAGCAGACACTTTTCATTTATTAGATACACTTAAGTGTATGAGTGTTACTTTATTATTTATGAACTTTTAGTTTTAATATTTTAAATTAGCTATTATTTTTATATTTTCATTTTAATTTTAGTGGAAGTTTTAATAATTTTGTTGTGCTTTTATTAACTGTGCTGTAATTTTTATTTCAGGTTTTTTTTTACTTGAGTTTTTTTTTTTCAAAATGTTTTTTTTTCATCTAAAATGTACATTTTATTTGACTTCAGCTTTATTAAATGAAAACATTTTTCAATAGTTTTAGTTAACCATAACACTGAAGTGTACAAAATGATTTCATGCACTAACAAGCACGAAATATTCTTACTGATATAAATTACTGTTTAGTGCTACACTCTACCAAGAGAACAGAACACATGGTTACTCACCACACTAGCTGTGAGTGTGAAGCCCTCCACTGCAAAACAGAGAGGACCACTCACCAACAAGAAGGAGAAGCTGTTTACTGCTACCCCTGCCAACTGGAGAGAGAAAGAAAAGAGAAGAGATGGGACATAAGGGGGTGAGGCACAAATAACTGCCAAATCCATTAAACAGGGGGAAAACACATCCTTTGTAGTCTGTATGAGTGTTTGGCCTGAAGGCAGCTAATAACAAAGGAACCCTCCGGAACTTCAGTGCCACTCTCTGCCTCTAGGGGGCAGTGCTCTTCTGTATTCTAATGGAAAGAAAGGGTGCACAGATGGGCTTGTGGGAGTTCACCTGTAGGGTGAGTACACTGAGGTCATTATAACCCTTCCTAGGGCCTCTTGGCAGAGGGTGAGAGTGATTGGAGGGAGGGGACGACCAGAGCAAAGCCCTGGAGTCAAGCCAGCGGTGTCTGTGTGCATGTGTACATAAAGGAGTGTGTGTACTTGTGTCGTGTTGCTCAAGTTTGATTATTTGCATGTGTATGAGTGTGTATCTATGACAAGAGAGACACTGGGGTTAATCTCATTAGGCCAGGCATGATGGAGAGAGGAAAAGATAGTAAGAAAGAGAGCAAGGGGTGGAGGGAGGAAAGGAACAGCAGAAGGCTTGAACAGGATGGATGGACAGATTAGGAGAAAAAGACGGGTCTAAAATTAAAGTGTTCTTTAGGGAGACACCAAAGAGAGAAGACCGGCTGTGCTCCCATGAAACACCCACGCATGCAAACACACTGAGCTTCCCACGCATTCTGAACACACATGGCACACACTGGATGCACAAATATTGGCAAGCGTGCGCACACACCCGATTGAAATCGCTTGGCACACGCGCATATATACCCATACAGCAAAGGATGCCTAGTGCACACTAATTATGGACTTGGCAAAAGCATTTCAAGTGTGACACACACAGGCTTTCTTATACAATCAAACAGGCCACAGATGCAAAACATGTCATCCATAAAATGCTGTATAACCTGATGGGTTAGTCCTGAGCTACAAACTCAACATGCAGTGTAACACTTACTGATGAAATTCACAACCCTTTAATACTTTAATACAGTCTTTAAGCTGCAATTTTGGTGATGAGGCATAAATTAATCTAAAGATAAATACGTACGAGGCAATATTCAGAGAGTGTTTGGATACAGTGTGTGTGAGCTTTTCATTGCTCAGCAGGTTTAGTACAGTGCACACGAGCCCACCCACTCCTCTCTGGCTCAAGGTGTCACACTATTAAAAGGCTTCTGTGATATTTCAGGAACTCCGGATTTAGCTGCTAGTGGGGACTGAAATAATCGTGACCCTGCAGCACGCTGCATTCTTAGAACAGTTTCTGCATATTCATGCACACACACAAACACACACGCACACACACACACACACACACACAGTTTACCTATCAAATAAGCATCTAGCACCACTTCTCAAACGTCAGAAGAATTAGGGTTTAGCACCAACAGTCGATCATCTCAGCTCACTCTGTGGTCGTAGATTGCTGTAGAGAGAGATAAAGAGGTAATCATCAGTGCACAGAGTTTGACTTTACTCTCATTTGTGTTCCTGATCTTTTACATTGGCTTCATTCCATCCAATCAGCACAAGTGCAGTAAAAACAGCCAGGCTTTGCAGCTGTGCCAGCAGTAACCTATCATGGACAGGGTGTCAAAAATTACTCCAGAGAAGAGAAAAAGTTGACAAATTGTGTTTTTTTTTTTTATTTTAATCCAAACGAGAATTAGTTTTTAATAAAACTAATTTGTTTTTCCCATATTATTCTATCCTCTATTAGGAGCACAATGAAGAATCTAACTATTTCATATGGCCAAATTGCACTCAAATAAAATAAATAAATAAATACATGCATAAATATATAACTTTATTCAATAATAACCATGAAGTGTCAGTTTAAAAAAAAAAAGAAACTAAAGGAAATCTGTCTGCAACACTGGGAGCTCTTGGGTGGTGAGCAGGACAACAGTGAGAGGAAATCCATGATACTGTCTCTCACACACAATGGTGAGAGTTATTGTGGGGAGGTGTCTGAACAAACACAGGCCTGGCTCTCAAAGAGACGTATCGGTGTGGAAAGCCAACTATCACTTGTGAAAACTGTGGCTCGGGAAAAACACCCCATGAAAAAATAACGGGTGGAATTGATGGGTTTATAGAAAGTGTTTTCATTGGTTGGTATATGTGCATGTTTTAGCATACGAGAAAATGTTTGTAAAGAAGCACGTTCACAGTGCAAACCAAGGGTCTTCAGCAGTGAGTCTGCCAAATATTGTGATCTTAAACTAGTTTTATGGCGCTTTTCCACTGCATGGTACGGCATGGTACGGTTCACTTTTGGGGGGTTTTCCACTGGGTACAGTACCTGGTACTTTTTTTCAGTACCACCTCGGTTGAGGTTCCAAGTGAACCGTACAGTTACCAAAACGTGACGTGCAAACTCTGCTGATCACTGATTGGCCGGAGAGAATCGTCACTACCTGCATCACTGAACTTGCAACACAGAGACACAACAGAACCGCTAGATTTAAATCAGCACAGCCTGCGAAGGATCGAACGCAACCGTTTTGAATGAGCGCACCTTTTTTTTAACAACCAAAAAATGGCTGTTTTGTGGTCTGTTGAGGAAGTACAGACCTTCCTTTCGTTGATAGCCGAGGAGCGGATCCAACGAGAGCTTGATGGGGCGACGCAGAATGAAAACGTTTTTCAGGAGTCGCGGCAGTAGAGGTGGCGCAACTATAACGACATGTGAATAATCCCGCCCACTCTAAAGCGATACTAAACTGCAGTGGAAACGCAAACCGAACCGAGCCGAGCCGTACTCTGCCGTGCCGAGCAGAGTCGTACCACGCAATGGAAAAGCGCCCTTAGTGAACCAAAAAAAAAAAAACGGCTAAAGCTTTATGCTAAAATTAAATTTTTTTGCAATGTTCAACTGGGGGGTCTTCTGTCCCAAAAAAAAGTTTGAAGACTGCCGAGGTAGACAGTTGTGGGAAAACACACATAAACCCAAACTGAAACTTCTCCGTACTACATTTCCACATTTCACATAGAATGACAAATCATACTGCTACAGCTTTGCTTTTTACGAGAACATGTTTTTCATTTCAAGTAATATAGATTTCTAGTAATGTGGAAACAATACGGCACCCCGAAACAGATTCGTATTATTGTAAGAGAGATAAATCGAAACACACATAAATGAAGTCTGATAACAGCTAGCTGTCTGCTGTGTAACTGGGGAACTCCCATGACTCAACCATGGAAAGGGCTTACCCCACAAAGCCAGACTCTGCCCTCTTCTCTCACACTCTTTACGGTCAGGTGATCGGGGACGCCCACCTCAGTCACAGCATAGGGAATTTCTGAAAGTCTACCGTCATCGACATCTGTCACAGTGTGTTGTTTTGGATGCAAAACATATGAACTGTAAATTTACAGTGGGGTTTTTTAATATTCCACCAAACCAGGGAATCCAAAACTCACTGATGTCGATCGGACAGGAGAAAACAGGTGGCTTGTGGTGCAACTGATTATAAGAGTGAATGAGGTTGTGTGGTTATTGGTTTATTGAAAGGCGTCACATCTCTATTCGCTTTCATGCTCTAGCTAACTGTTTTCTAGAAATGTCATGTGTATTTACTCATACTTCAAAAACTCTTTAGAAGTCATTTTAATTTCAAATCATAAATGTTACAACGATGATATCATAATTTAAAAAATTCCCCATTCACCCCCACATCGCCCCTCAGCTTGATAAAATTCCCCATGACAACAAACATCAAACAACTATTCCAGTCACTGGTTTGGTCTTCACACTTACCAGATCAATGCCTTAAAATACCAAACCAAATGAGGGCCACATATGTGGGAGTCTCCAACCAAACCTGTCCAATCAAGCGATAAAAAAAAAAAAAAAAACCTTCTGGAAATCACCGTGAGAACTAACCAACCATACAGCTGGAGCAAAAGATATGACGTCTGAAGTGATGAGTACCCTTTAAAAAAAACCGATTCAGGTTATGATTCACTTTTGAATAGATGAGGACTGACATCAATAACATGGCAATGTGAAAACAACGCCATTTTAAGATAGTGCTACGGGTCGTGTGAATGATGTAATCTCCCAGCATGACGACAGCGTCCTCATTCCTGCCAGAAAGTACCATGAAGCAACTCGGAGAGCTAAAACAGCTGAGCGTTCGAGTATGCGGAAAAGAACGGCATGGAATGGAGTCAAGGAATTAGGCCAGGAGAGGGAGAACAGATTGTGAAAAAGAAAGGTAGATGAGAAGAACAGGGGAAATGAGAGAGCTGGAATGTTCCTCAGTGAGCAAAGGGTGCCGGCGGAAGGGCCTGTGGGTGAGCGCTCACATTTGGCCATTATATAACCCACCTCAGATAGAGATCACACACAGAGGCACAGAGGCAAAGGAAGCACGTCACAGTAGGCTTGTGCCTGTTCCCTTCCCTCTCTGTGTGTGTCTGCCTCTGCCAATGATGCAAGGCTGAGTCGTCACGATGGCGTCGCTGCCTTCCAAGCCCACACTCGTAGCCTCCACACAAACATGCGTACATACAACAGAGTGTACATCCTGATCCCGAGAGCGAGTTCAACTGAGGACACGCGCAGCGCTCGCTTCTGTGTGACTCTCTGGCTGAGCCCTCGCCTACATGTAACTTTGCGACAAGCCTTCCTCGACCTTGCACCACCCTTCCAAAAATAACATTACAATAAAAACTTTCACGACTGGCCCCATTACGCTTTCGGAATGTCACAACTGGCTTCTGTGCACAGACCATGATTACTTTCCCTGCTCTCGTTTTCATGTCATCGCTCTTGACCTAGTTCAGCGCTCCTGATTTATGGTTGCTAGACAGATGATAAATCCATCTGGATGGAGCGTTTGAAGATAAGCGGCGCAAACATCACAGGCATCGATATGATATTGACACTCCAGCACTAAAATGTTGTCCATCTGGTATCAGCTGTTAATGAATAAATATGTAGGCTAATATATAAACCAGGGCACATTAGTGGTGTATAAATGTGTATAAGATTGTCTTACTAGGGGGGAAAGACTCAGGTGACCCTAATCTAAATATTCACCATCATTCCTGACATGACACCAAAATCAGCAATTTCACTAATAATATGAATCTTGGATTCAGGTCTCAGCTCTCAGTTGTTTCTCTTTGAGTCGACACAGAGAAACATGATGCTTTTCTTAGTAACTCTAGTGGTCATGTCCTATTAAGAGTAAACAACCATGCTGTCACTGTGGTAAGCACTGCTGAGAAAACACCCTTAGTCATTACCTTGAATGAGGTGTATGAGTGACACTGATATTACTCATAAAAGGAGAAGTCAACATGAAACAGGTTACAAACCATTTTACTTCTGTAACTTGCCATGTTCCTAAATGAAAAAGGATATTCATTGAAAAACTGTAGTATGAGACTTTTGGAAATTGATTAGATTCTGAAAAGTGATTTGGTGACTTAATCTAAAAAGAAAAACAGAGGTGGATTGTGTAGTTACTTTGATGAAAGATGATGTAGGCTTTGAAATAACATGAACAAATCGTGCACAATAAGACCAGAGATGTGCATTTGGAAAGTCAATAGGGTCCATTTTGATCTTATGTTGACTTCAAAAACATAATGAAACAAAAGTGACAACCGACCTTTTCTTCAGTTTTGTGACGTACATCACCGATTACTCGAAAAAAAAAAGTAGGGTGGAGACTCGGTTGTGTCCATCAGTTGTTGATTAGATGGAGGCAGATCTTGCAGTCAAGTGAAAGTGAACTAAATTTTTGGCATATGTCACCAGAGAGACGCGTGTCAGAAGATTATGATTTTAATTTAAAATAAATTAAAAACTTATGAATGTATGAACTGTTCACTATAAGATCAATAACTTATATATTCCCCAACACACATATATATATATATATATATATATATAAAATATTTCCCCAATAACAACATATGTACAACAATGTAAGAGATCAGCCCTAAGATATGTTAATATCTATATCTGGATAGTAGAGATGCACCTTTCGATCGGCCAGGGATCGGAATCGGCCGATTTTCCTCATGATCGGCCCGGATCGGTGATCGGTCGGTCAGTCTCACTACTTTCCGATTTCGAGCCGATCCGTTTTGTTACCAGCGGCACAGGCAATAACGTCAGCGGCGCATTCTCGCTCTGTTCTCTCCGACGACCCCTTCTCTCTCACACACACACACGTCTCATTCGCTCCGGTTAAATAGTGCTTGTATTGCGCATTATTTTAGTCATTCCCGCAGGTTATACCAAACGCGCGCGCACCACCGCAGATCTATATTAATGGAGCGCACAATCCGAGCTCAGTCTCAAACAGCTTGTGAGCCACAAACACCAAAATGAGTGGCTAACTGCGCTAAAACAACAAAAAAAATCGGAAATCGGAATCGGCCAAGAAAATTGCAATCGGTGCATCTCTACTGGATAGTCAGGAAAAATTCTGCTTCTGTACTTGTCTGTGAATGGGAATGTACCAGCATGTGAGAGTAAAGAAAGCAGAACAGATATGATAAGAATGGAAGTCGTCGTCAGAGCAACAGGAAGTGGGCCTCTCAAAAGAGGGGAGGGTGTCTTAAAAGGGACTAGGGGGAATGATGTAACATCCTGTGGAACATATTCTGTGTGTACGTATTTATGAATGGCCCAAAAAATGAAAGCAAAGTGGTCAAGTGTCTAGTTTCTCATCCTGTTAAGTCCCCTTAGGCTTGGCAGATGTTGCTGTTGTCTCTCTGTCGGGGTTATATCCATACTGCTGTCGGTCAACTTGTGTAATAGTTCTTCTGAGAACTAGAGTAAAACTTTTAAGGAACAGAAAGAGTGACTGACGTGCCAGCACATTACACAACAGACACAGCCCAAACGGCAAGAAGCTGAAAGACGGGTGCGGTGCGTGAATGGCAGTGACTCAGTGTGCGAACGTCTGCTAGACATGAAAGTCTGGAGTGTGTCTGCACAGCCATCTGCGAGAAAAAACTTTGAATGCACTGTGCCGCACAGACTGTACAAATGTGTCACCGTATCATTGTGAGATCGCTCTTTCATTCTCTTTTTACCTTATGAATACAAAGTACCACAAATGACCTTTCTCTGTAGCCATCAAAACATCGCAGCTTTTCATTACTGGAACAGTCAAACCTTGAACATCTGTCTTGTTTGTCTCTCATTAGCCCCCAAAAGTCCCCTCCTACATTCAAACTCCTCGTTTCCCAGAAGCAAGTGCATTAGACACCAACAAAACAGGCACACTTATTAGTAACAAAAAGGATAAATCACAAACAAGCGGGCTCTCGGGTTGCCATGGCAACTGGTACGGCAGCACTCGTGTCTGACGCTCACAAAGTCGGAGAGGGATCCAGCCAAGCGGGATGAAGAGTCACGTCTGGCATCTAAAATATTTCAGACACTACTTGAAAGTTAGTGATCATAAATCGATGGAAAATTTGACTTTAATGTGAGAGAGACAAACCAAGATGTTTGCGATACAGGAAAATAATCCCTCCTCAGTCATGTCCCCCCCTACGTTATGACGCACGTCAGTGATCTGTGTGTTGCATCCTGGCTGCTCACTCTGAACATCTGACTGAGTCACAGAAACATGACTGATCTTTTTTGTTTTCCACCACTCTCCATTCCTCTCAACCACTCCCACTATAGTTTCACCGCCCCTCCCTTTCTTTTACTCACTTTCCCTTTTCCCCCTCACTCCAAGCCAGTGTGTCAAGAGGGGGAAAAAATGTGGTTTCAGACAGAATTAAACGCTTTTCTTTCTTGTTGTCTTTAAATTACACCACCTAAGACCAACTCATCAAACTTAATAATAACACACGTTCACAGACTCACACACTTTCTCTTGTGAAATTCCTCTAGCTTGCCTACATCACTTCCTTTTACCACAAAAGTACAGTCCTAACATTGGAAAAACTCCCACACACACACAACCGTTAGAGCTCAATGGAATAAACGAGGAGGACTTTACAGCCTACGACTTTTTGTTTTTTCATTCGGACAGTCCTGAAATACCAGTATAACCACACTCGCATAAGCCCGGCTCTCTGTCATCATCACTGTCGAATGGCTACCATGATAAGCGTACGTTGACTAAGCACTCTAGCAAGCCCACTGACCTACATCATGATACATCATCATTCCTTCGTTTCACACGCTCACACGTGAAATGTGCAACCTACACCGCTCTCTATTTACTCCACCTGTTAAGATCACAAACACACCCTCTTGAATGTTCTACCATTACTCAAAATTAGCGATGGGAAGATAGACTCAAGTTCATTTAAAAAAACAAAACAAAAAAAACAGATTTAGTGATTCTTTTAGGTCATGATGTAATTATAATTCAAAACAATGGTTCACGTATTGGACTTCGCTAATCAAAACACTGCCCTAATACACAGTTCTACACACTTTCAAACAATTGAGAATGAGTATATATATTCACAGCAATTTTGTTTCTTATTTTAGTCTGGCCTATAGCTTTAACACAAGTTTATGCCGTCACAATAAAGGGACAGTGACGCTGCAATAAGGCGGCTAATTCAAAACACCCGCTGGTCTGAGAAGGAGTCTCGGCAGCTGCTGCACTCTCGAAATTTACAACCCACAACTTCAAAGGGAAACAAATGCAGGCTCTCTGTTTTCATGTCAGTCGTACTAATTGATTGGAAGTCGATCTTCAAAGGGATCTTCCTGTCCTTCATATACCCACGTATTTACTTCCACGGGTGTTTATGACCGCCCGTAATATGCAGAGCGTCCCAACTCGCCCCCCAGACACACTCATACAACAAACACCTAACTGTTTCACTGCAACTTTACATGCTGTCAGCAATGTTTGTTTGACGTCATCACAAATATTCCTCCTAGCGTGTGACAGAGAAACTTCCCCTGCATATTCCCTTAACCCAGACACCGGAATATGTTCAAACGCACATGCAAACGCTGAGAGAAAAAACACCCCACCCCCAGGTTGGGCTGGAGGCTTGTTGTAGTAGAAAATGATGCAAATTATTTCCTTTCAGACAGACGCATTCAGTTCAGCACGAGCAGGCTGAGGCAATCCATTCAGCTTTATGAGACTGCCCAGCTCGGCACATCCCCGCAGTGGAGCCCTGCCCTCCCGTGTCAAACAAAGAGCAGCGGATCACATTGCCATCACGCACACATAAATGGGTCAATGAAGTGATGCTCTTTTTTGGTTCAGTTTCAATTAATTTCAACCTTTTTTTCTTCCATAGAGCTGAAAGTCAAAAACATTTAGATGCATGAAGATTGTAAAACAGAAACAGTAGTAGTTTGGCATACTCTTTTGTTAAGCGTTTAAAAAATATATGCAAAGAAGCAATTTTGTTTTCACGTATGTGACCCTGGACCACAAACCCAGTCATAAGGGTCAATTTTTTGAAATCGAGATTTATACATCATCTGAAAGCTGAATAAATAAGATTTCCATTGATGTATGGTTTGTTAGGATAGGATACTATTTGAAAATCTGGAATCTGAGGGTGCAAAAAAAGCCAAATAATGAGAAAATCACCTTTAAAGTTGTCCAGATGAAGTCCTTAGCCAGGCATATTACTAATCAAAAATTACGTTTTGATATATTTACAGTAGGAAATTTACAAAATATCTTCATGGAACATGATCTTTACTTAATATCCTAATGATTTTTGGCATAAAAGAAAAATCGATCATTTTGACCCATGCAATGCATTGTTGGCTATTGCTACAAATATACCCCAGTGACTTAAATCAGAATTAAGTCACATATTATTAAGTCAGAATGGCTTAAGCAGTATGCAGGCTATTCTGTTGTCATGTGACAAGAAAACCATATAAGAGGGGACCAATTTAGACTCTCAAGACTGTATCAAGGTCATCAAGATTTATACGAAACTAAGAAAATAACTTTTTTGTTTTATATGTTAGTATAATGTAGTATTTGTAAATGAAAATGGATTTGTTTGACACCAGTAGGGTCAGTTTACACTGAACCCAACCCCCTTCCACCTGACACACGTGGGACTGAGACTTTACAACCTACATCTAAACACTTTCTGCCTGAACACCCTACTTATACAATACAGCAATATACACAATCACACGCCCGACCCAATAATTAAACCATGCTTTGATTTGTCTAAAGAGTATCTCTCTAAAGACGGAACGCCATTCATTGTCTCAAAGGCATGTGTTTGTGGGCAGCAACGAGTTAATGCGCGTGGTCACTTCCGGTCACTGTTACTACAACGCTTTCATTCACACAAACTGTTGCTAGCCTGAAATAAGGAGTGTAATTTCTTTCAGTCACGGCCAACACTCAACTATGAAGTAGTCAGGAGTTTACCATGGGGATAACAATGATAAAACAACTGAGACAAGAGAGAGCGGACTTACCTTTAGTAGTAAAACTCGTTCAGCTTGCGTCTCCGCTAGCGCTCCCAAAAGTTAGACGGGATCTGTTGGAGAATAAACGAGGACATCTTTTAGTTTTCCTCACAGAGGACACGAGAAGTCGACACCTTTCACACTAGAAAGGTGTCAACGGTTGAAGTGATTAAATTACGAGTGATCACATATAAAGAAGCTTGAATTACAGGCGGCGCTTTTGTTATAAGCGCTGCGGGAATAGAACGCAGAAGCGTCGAGTACAAAAAAAACCGTTAAAACACGAGTGTGTGACTAAAATTCCTGTCAGTACCGGTGAATATCGCAAGCGCAGTTTATCCGTAACTTCTCCTTGGCGTGCAGATGAATGTACCAGCTGAATAACAACAATAGTAATCCGCAAAGTCGTCTATTTTCGTAAATCCTTCGGTTTAAACGCCAAAAGTCTGTTGTGTCTCTCCGCAGAGGGCGTGCTGCTGATATTTAATGTTGCTGTTGGGTAAGTCTCCGCTCTCTATAGCGAGCACAGAGCTGTGTCTGTGAGTTAAGGCAGGGATCGAGTTGCGCTGGGGTTTTTTAAAGGGACACACAGCCCCGGCTACAGAGGCGCACGCTCTCTTCTCTCGTCTCTCCGCAGCGTAGCACCGCCCCTCAGCTCCTGACGTCAGCACGCACGACACCGGAATTCCCTGACAGCGCAAACCGGCAGGTCTCCGCCTGCTGCCTTATTTAAGACGGACTCGTGACTCGTGTCCTACTCTCACGGCCAGCCGGGACAGCAGTTCCGCCTCCTAGCTATTAATAAGTCTGAACACGATATTCACGCCTCATCACACAAAAATGCAGCACCCAAGACTCGCGCTCCTCACTCATTCAAGCAACGACATATAAACCATATATAGCCTCAGGACATGCTATTCAGTTGATATGGGGCTAATAATAATTATTTATTATTAATTAATTTTTGTAATATGTTGATTTCAATTTTACTCCATGTAAACAACCATTTATATTTGTATATTTATTTATATCTATTAATAAACAACAACAATGATGATGATTATACTATAATAATAATACTATTCTTCGTATTGCTATTATTATTATTATATAAAATTAGATTTATTTTCATAAAAAATTTTCACAGAGAATGTTCTGAGCGTCGGGCAAGCCAACAGGACAGACAAAACAGATGGACCAAGAAGTGCTGAAATAAAGAAAAATAGACAGGAAAACTGTGGATACAATTTTCAAAATTACACTGGAAGAGTATCCACTTTTTCTGACTTATTCAACAGTCACAATTGAAGTTTTTGAAGAAACTAATGGCATCTGCCATGTCAGGATGTTTCTTGACTGTGTGAGGACAGCATGGTATGTTCATTTAATGGCGAACAGACGCTGCATGCGTGTGTGTGATCAGCACGTTATATTTAGCAAGGTTACATCAGTGGCAGCGAGACAAAACAGGCCGGCCAAACCATGGGAGTGTGTCACGGGAACCAGGCTTCTTGGACAGCAGCGGAAAGACATACACACACACACACACACACACACACACACACACACACACACAGGACGTAAGCTGCTCTGAGCACAACGCCTACCAAAAACAGGCAAACATCGACAACAGCAGATGTGCGAATGGCTTCTTTGGGAAACTGAAGAAAAATATGGCTTTTCTTTTTCTATCATACAACCCTTATCACATTCCAGCTACAGCACTGTTACAACACTGTACAGCACCCCATAATAGGATACTCCAGACAGGAAGAAGGGATATGACCACTGTGACCAGGGTGTGACGCCCTGTGATCTCTCCCACTCACACCCACCCATTGTGCTCGTGTGTGCTAGTACACTAACATTCTGCCATTACAACAGATTTCAAAAGATATGTGCGTGTGTTTTGAGTACTTTAATTCCAGAGGTGGGCTTGTAGTTCCGATTGCTTGGTTCTGGCCATATAACCAGGGAGGGACAGAGCTCAGTCTCCCGTTCTCACATGGCAGCTAAATATAGCAGCGTTCCCACGAGTACAGCAGAATTCTGAACACACACAGAACTGTCAGATGTGCAGTGGCAGAAATGAGTGGTATGTGTGTGTGAGAACTGACGGCGGCCTTTAGATCAACACTCTGCTCCCACTTTGTAGGCTTCACTGAGTCAGCACTCGGGTGCTCTAGTTGTCACAGCTGCCACACATGGATGGATGGTCCATTCAGAGGGCTAACTCCCACTGTGCCCACATCTACCCCACATACTCCCACGTATGAATTACACACCATGAGTCCATGCCAACTCATATTGAAAGTAAATGTCCCACTCAAACAGTAGGGGGACTGTAACCACCCTCTGAGGACACAGGAGGAACAATATATACAAATAAGGATTGCAAGTGTGAGCAGCATTGTTAAAGCTTAAATTTGTTGATCTTGTATGTGTGTATTTGTGCCTTGCAAACTTATTAACTAGGGTTTTCTGTGATTGAACATTCACAATGATGTGTCTTATTTGAACGAATTTGAAAAGTCTCATTAATAATGGGTTGAAAATGTTGAAATATTTTGTTGTTTATGAATATAGTAATATACATAGTACATAAAAGTGTTTATTGCATGAATAGTTTATTGCAAAGAAAACTTTACATTTAATGAGTCACATGAATATTGTTTTAGACACATACAGAAATATATATATATTTTTATTTATACTTGAGTATTTTAAAGATTTATACATGGGCTTTCTTTTCTTCTTACATACATACGCTCAACATTTAAACAAACAAACAAAACAGACAAAGACACAAAATTAAGTGAATTAATAAAAATTACACCCAATGTAAGGTTTGTGACACAGCTGCCTTAAACTAACAGTATGATTATCAAAATTATTTTTTATGTTTCTGTAATGGTCAGTACACCAGTATGTGTAAGCTCTTTAGTCACAGTAGTATTTGTAATGCTAAGATATAATTATTGTTGTTATCCATGAATTTTCAAATTTTCTGTTTTACAAGAAAGGCAGAAATAATAGTAAAAGACTATTTTTTTATTCAGATGCCCAATTACAGTCAATAATTACAGTCTAATAAAAAGAAGACACATTTTAGGAATCTGTCAAACACTTGTTTTAAACTAAAATTTGTTACTGTCATTTATTAGGCAAATAACAAACTGAAACAACTAAAGAGTCTTTATTCATGATTAATAACCAAAAAAGTTTGTATGGCCTCCTCTGGCCTTGATAACAGCTTCCATTCTTGCTAGCATTGTTTTTATGGAATTTTTCTACAGTCTCTCTCTCTGCTGTTATTGACTAATTGGCCATCTGAATAAATAACAACAATAATAATAATAATAATAAAGTGCTTCACCATTTTTTCTGCCTTTCTTTTAAAGCAGTAAATTTGTAAATTCATGACTAAAGAGCTCACACATACTGATGGATTAACCATTACAGAAACAAAAATGATTTTGGTAATCGCCAATACTTTAGGGCAGCTGTGGCACAAATCTTACACTGGGTGGTGGTGGTCTAATAAATTTGTAATTTGAGTTGAATTACTGAAATAAATGAACTTTTCCATGACATTCTAATTTATTGAGATGCACCTGCAAATAATTTCTCAAAATAAAATGTATAATTATTGTGGTGGAAATGCTGGAAGGCCAGAAAAATAAAATTCCTGACTAGGAAAGCAGAATAAAAAAATCCTTACTGCAATTTACTTTGGTACTCTTTCATTTTTGACTTTCACCAATTCTCCACCTTCTCTCTCTGTTTCTACCCAAAGCTGTAGCTTGAGGTGGAAACATTTAAAAGCCCCACTCAAAACCATTCACTCTGTAGAATGAAAATTACAGCAATCTTTGGTCAGATAAAGTGGGGTTATTTGTTTATTGATGACTATAAAACAGAAGTGGTTAGGCTGCTTGACTTATGACCTTAAAGTCAAAAGGTTGCACCCCTGCAGATAGACAGCTGCTCTGAGTTTTAAAACAGGCCTGCAGCAACAACTGTAAAGTCAACACAAACCTAAAGTCCAAACGCTGTGCAACTGCAAAAGCACTGCTATTAGTAACCAGTCAAGATGAAATTGAAACACAACAGGCCAGTGTTTAACTGGCTTTTAATAGATCCTGTCTGATCACTGAGATGAAGAGACAGACAGAGATGAAAAAAAGTGATATCTTTTCTGGAATCAAACGCTGATAGCAAATCTCAAAGCTAACATCTAGCATTTCATTTTAAATGTCACTCTGAACTCTGACAGGCTCCATGAGCTCAAAGGTCACAGTGAGGGGGAGTTTACAGGATTTAGATGAGAAAAGGCCAATCTCCACTACCAAAAGACAGAGGACTAATCTAGTCTCTGAAGGTGAAGAGAGGATTCAGAGGATTATAAGAGGACACAGACCAAACAAACATGAGAAAATGCAAGTCCATGAGGGACAGTGCAACACTCAGACTCAAAGTGTTCTTGATACAGATGAGAGGACTGGTGCTCAGAGAGCATGAAAGTGAGAGACAGGCCGAGAGCGAGAGAGAATGAAAGAGAGAAACAGTCCCCATACCTGCTGGGAAATCCAGCTCAAGACAGCAGCTAGTTTCTAGCTGGTCAACCAGCTTTAATGCTTCACAAACCACCAGCTTGAACATATTAGAGTCAGCATGAAATTAAACATTTTCTAAATGCATGTTATAGGTCTAATAGTGAACAATGTTTAATTTTTACATCTCGTAATGTTTAATCAAAATATCATTGCTATCATTCTCCCAGTGAAAATGACAAGGTTTTCTCTGACGTACACAGGACTTCTCCAATCATTTAGTCCGCTTAAACTTGCCCCTGCAAGCTTGCGTTTATCTTTACTTTTTTTTTCTTTTTCAATAATCCGTTACACTCAGATGTATGCCACAATATGGAAGATAAGATCTGGCGCTACTTCCATTTAATCGTGACTTTACTCTGCTATGACCAGCTGGTTTGTTGCTGGTCCAAGATGGCTCACCAGGTTTAGCTGGATTTACCAGCAGAGATTTTTCTCCCTTCCCTGTTGTATGTACACCAGCTGGGGCATGTGCACACACACATATAACGTGATGACCTACTGAATACACACTCCTCTCACCCAGCACATATTACACTTTTCTGTCTCAACACAGCTCGCCGGTTCTGTACGCCTCCAACTGTCAATAAGATATCAGAATTATGCTAACTCAACACGCATAGGCGTTAGCCATCAATGAACTTACTGTAATGCATTAGCAAACAAAGATATTGTACACATCCTGTAATCAGCGTAAAGGTGAAATGGAGACAAGGCAATACAAAACCTTTATTCTCTAATGCCGCTCATCCAGAACCAAAGAAAGCCGGCCCATTACAGACAAACAATAGGCTAAACCTGTTCTTCCATTGTATTAATGATCTCCAAAAGACTCCAACCAGAACTAAGTTCTGGTCTGTAATTTTTCTATTACAGAGGAACATTCTATTGGATTCTATTACTGAACTTGTCCCAAAATCTTATCTTCACACAAATCTTTTTTTAATTTTTATATTCTCATAAGTCATTATTTAATTAATTGAACTGTAATACATTAAGCTTCCTCATGGAGACTGTTGGCAGCGCCCCATGATTTCAGCAATTTCAGGTTTTACATACACTATTCAACTAAAAATTAGATTTCCCC